ATTGGATAATGCACCATCTTTTAAAAATGACATCATTTTAAATATTTATAATCTTTTAATTTATGTGCCTATATGTCTCTGTGTGTTTATGAAGGCATTGTGCAAGTACCCACAGATGCAAGAAGAGGACTTTTAATTTATGTGCCTATATGTCTCTGTGTGTTTATGAAGGCATGTGTGCAAGTACCAACAGATGCAAGAAGAGGACTCTGGATATCCAGTATCTGGAGTTGCAGGTGGTTGTAAGCCACCTACCATTTGGGGTATTCACCAGAGAAGATTGATGAGACATGTGTTTAAGCCTATAGATAGTCTTTATTAGCTGGTGTTTGTGATCCCAGTATAGTGCTGATACTTTCTTAGGTTGAGCTTTTAAGTACAACAATGATGTTCTGGGTTGATACATTTCAGTTAACAAGAAAACTTAGAATTGGAACTGCAGAAGATTAAAAAGAAAGATTAGTACATTTTGAGACTTCTCAATAAGTACATGGTCTTATAAGTATTAGACCTCTGTTTTAGTTTTTACAGGTCTTCAGGAATGCACTAAATCTATAAAGTACACTGAAATAAAGAAAATTATGTCCTCAATAAGTGTCCCCTCACAAGGTATATATAAAAATAAGCCACATAACTAATAAGAAAAATATTTGTAACTTGGTCAAGAAATGAAACAGTAAATACATATCCTTTACATACATTAATCAATGGCAAATAGTTTCTTGAAAGCAAGAATGGTCATTATACTCATGGCCACTTTCTCATAATTGGTATTTTTTCATTAATAGGAGCAGGAAAATTTATTCATATTCCTCTATTCATTCATTCTTCACTATTTAATTCCCTACAGTCTATGTGTTGGATATACAGGTCTCTGTTGCAATTATGACGTCACAAATAATGACTTTTTCCATACTTTTGCATAAAGTATTGCAAAATGTATTAAACAACAGAATTAATTTCATTTGAGAGTCTAGAAATAAAAAATTATATCCCTAGTGAAAACAATTTAGTCAGGGTTTGATAAGCACATTTGTGAAAATTCATCTTAAAGACCTTTTTCAAAGTTACGTCTTCATAAAAGTATTACACACAGCATGAGATTTTTGTCCATTTAATATATGTTTGAATTTACTTGTATATATTCACTGTACATGGCACATTAGAACCATATATTGTACCTTGAACATAAAGTCCCATGTTCACCTTAATGTCCTCTGTATGGATAATTTTGAAAATACTTTGGACATTTAAATCAGTATACTTCATAATGTTAAGATTGCATTTGTGATGTGAGAAGCATTATAAAATTGAGAGAAACAAGGTAGTGCATGCAAGGGGAGAGCACTTTGGATCTTAGTAGAGCCTTTGAAAGAATGGGTGGTGGGGTTTTACATGATAGCAGAGACAAAAGAACCCTAGACACTGGGTTTGAGATGAACGGGTCAGTTCTAACCCTGAGGACATGTGGAAAAAACTGTTATCATGATCTTAGGAGTATTGGGTGATGAGCCACATGGCTCTTGATTTACACAACCAATTTAGCTAATCTTTTCAAGGATGAATTAAAGGTTATTATTTTTACTTATGTGTATGTGCCTGGGTGAGTTTATGTGCACTGTGTGTGCAGTTGCCTGTGGAGGCAGAGGGCATCGGATCCCTTGGAACTGGAGTTACAGGCGGTTGTGAGCTGCCTGATGTGGGTGCTGGGAACCGAACCCGGGTCCTCTGCAAGAGCAGTAAGTGCTCTTAACCGCTGAGCCATCTCTCTAGCCCCTAAACCTAATTCTTAAAAAACTTTCTTTAGATACTGAGGACAGCATGAATGATCATGAAGATACAAATGGTTCAAAAGAAAGTTTCAGAGAACAAGATATTTATCTTCCCATTGCAAATGTGGCTAGGATAATGAAAAATGCCATACCTCAAACAGGAAAGGTAACGTAGAGGATACTTTGGTTTTCTTTGCAGGGGGAGGGAGAGGGAATGGAAACTAAACTGTAAGACACATGGCTACAGTTAAAAAAAAGCTAGCTATTGATTTGGTCCCCAGCCTTCCAGCACATCAAATATTTGTTGTGACTACTTGGCTACTCCGCAGTGTTCTGGCCTCACTCCTCCCCTCCCCACCCGTCCATCTAGAATGCAGTGATGTTAGGTGGCCTTGGACTGGCAGGGAGCATAAGATTTTACAAACAGCTGTTTTCATTTTTATACAAATGGAGGCTGTCTGCATCTCAACTGACACACAGTAGCTTGTCTTAGAACAACTCCTTGTACAGAACATTCTTCAGCCAGGTATGGTGGCACTTGCTTTTAATTCCAGCATTTGGGGAGCTGAGGCAGGAGAAATGCCAAGAGTTCAAGGGCTACATAGCAAGTTCCACACCAGTCTTGGCTACATAATGAGACCTTGTGTCCTAAAACAGACAACCCTCATCATTCAGCTTATCACTTGATCTGAGGTAAATTTCTTGCTTTATATATAATATATATGCATATATATTAGCCTTTTCCATTATTTTCATAAACCTTTGAAAGCAAAGTTCTCAAATTTACTGATGTGAGATATTCCTCCATATGTTTTAGGGCAGAGGAATTGTCCCAGACTTGCTTTTTCTGCCCTGTCTCTTACCAAAACCTCAGCCATCTATCTGGGCCACCAAGCAGCTGAGAGGTGGCTGCTCTAAAAGGAGCTGTGCTGTAACTAAACCACCAGATTTCAGAGGCCTGGTGTGAGGGTGACAGGGGAGATACCCTGTATTAAATTGATTACATGTTTCTGCTAAGATGATACATGTGTATATATGTGCTAGATAACATAGTCAACATGGCTTCAAATGGAAAGAAAGACAAAGTTACACACTTGGCTTGCATCCCATTGTTTTTATTCAGTGCATTGTGCGACTCATTTACTTTCTCTACCATGTAAAATGGATATGGTAGTATTTAGTAAATTTATTATTTAGTAAATGACAGTATTTATATTTATTTAGAGGGAGTGCTCGAGTGATATGTGTGTGATTGCATATAAGTACCATATACCACAGAACTTATATAACTGAACTTACAGTGTTCAGTTCTTTCCTTCCATCATTTGGGCCCTGGGGATCAAACTTAAGTCATCAGGTTTGGCAACAAGCACCTTTACCTACTGAGCCATCTTGTCAGGACCCAATAATAGTAATTTTTCAGGAAGGGATTTGAGTGTCGCTACAGTTATAAGTGGCTCTTGAATTGCTTGACTGATCTGTTTCGTTTTCATTATTAGACCCCAGACCTTTATTTATCTATGTATGTTTGTATGTATATATTGAGACAGAATCTTACTGTATAGCTCTGGCTGGTCTGGAACTTGTTGTGTAGACCATGTTGGCCTCTGCCTGCTTCTGCCTCTCAAGGACTAAGAGCATTCTCTACCATGCCCAGCAGTCCCACAACTTGAAGAGGAGAATTCTTCATAATGAGGGGGGGGGGGGTGCTGTTTTAGGCAACACTCAGGACCCACACTTGACATTTTCTAGTCTCAGTAGTTGAAAAAAAAAAAAAGAAAAAAATCGTCAGTATCTTACTCCTAAGTCTTTTGTGAATTCAGTTTTTGTTTTTCCTGAACATTTTTTTAGCATTTTATTTATTTTGTGTGTATTAGTGTTTTGTGTGAATATATGTCTGTATTTACACCTTGTGCCTGAGGTGGCCAGAAAAGGGAATCAGATCTCTGGAACTGGAGTTACAGTTTTGAGCCATCATGTGGGTGCTGGGAATTGAACTTTGGAATGGACATAAATGAACTTTATGTCCTTTGGAAGAGCAACCAGTACACTTAATCACTGAGCCAACACTTTGGTCCAGTTTCTTTGACTGGGGCGGGGGTTTATTTTTTATGTCCTTAGGAAATGCTGAGAGAAGTGCTCCATGTCTCAGCCCTTCGCATGCTCAGCGCAGGCATACTTGGGTTGGTATGGATGGTAAGCTACAGTGGTGGCTCTTAACCATCTTAGTTCTGTGTGCTCTAAATAGTCCCTCTCACTTTTATGTGCATGTTTGTTCTGTTCTGAGTTGGCTGTTACCAACATATGTTAATATTTAAGGGGCTAGAGTTTAGCCATCATCAGTGCTAGGAATGTGGCTCAGTTGGTAGAGTGCTTGCCTAGTGTGCTTTTATCACTTGAGGGGTGGAGGCAGGAAGAGCAAAGGTTCAGGTCATCCTTGGTTACATAGAGAACCCAGCCTGGGATAGGTGAGGTGTTGAAAAGGTGTCTGTCAGTACAATGTGGTATGCTGTGTGTAGCTTTTTGTTTTCGCAGGTGTTAAGACGGTAATGGTTACATTTCCTAAAAATTGACCTATGGCTTTTTTCTTCTTCAGATTGCAAAAGATGCCAAAGAATGTGTTCAGGAGTGTGTGAGTGAGTTCATAAGCTTCATTACGTCTGAAGCAAGTGAACGGTGTCATCAGGAGAAGCGGAAGACCATCAACGGAGAGGACATTCTCTTCGCCATGTCCACTCTAGGCTTCGACAGCTACGTGGAGCCTCTGAAATTGTACCTTCAGAAGTTCAGAGAGGTGAGTGTGCTGAGGAAAGTGACAATCGCCATCAGCTTGGTGTGTAGAATTACGTCACTTAAGATCAAATGCCTTGCAGCAAATGATGGAACATTTCCAGTAGCATTTGATGTATTATAGTACTTTAAATACCAATCCTTTACTTGTTTCCTTAGTGTACTAAATTTCAGCAGGTGAGTAGTGATCAAAAGGATTCTGGGTTTGTGCTGGGGGGTTCGAATGTTGAAATAGTTGAGGCTTTGGGTCCCCATCTGTAAAGAGACTTAACAGCACTTCCATTACAGAATTATTGAGAGGACTCAGCAAATGATGGACAGTGCTACCGCATTAGCTTAGGAACCATCGGTCAGGGTGGAGCTTCTCTGGGGACTAGAGGATGTTGTGACCATCCCCTTGTTGTATGCTCCTTATTTTTGAGACAGCATCTTACTGAGTCAGAAGCCCATTACTGGGCTGGGCTTGTGGACCAGTAAGCCTGAGAGACACTTTTGTCTGCCTCTCCAGCACTGGTTACAGGTGGGTGCCACACCCAGCTTTTAAGTGGGTTGTTGGGACTCTGAACTCAGGTCCTCTTGCTTGCTGTGAAAGATCTTTAGTGTTCAAGTCCCTAGAAATTAGTGTTTTTTTTGAATGGAATGATTAAAGTGGGAAAACTGTAAGTCTACAGTACTCCTCCAAATATTTCCACAATACTCTGTGGTGTACTTAAGAGTACCACAGACCCAGAGAGCCAGAGGTGGGGTGGGGTGTTGGTGAGTCTCTGGTTCAAACTATTTTGTATTTGTGGATTTTAAACACTAAGCTTGGAACTTGCCAGTATTTTCTACCTGGCTGTGCACTGATGGCACCACACACAAACATGTCATGGAGTGTTAATAAAATACCGTTATGAAGTTTTCTCACTGAAGCTTCCAGTTTTGGACATCACATTCTCATTAGAAACAGTTTGATGTGAACATTTGTTTTGGTTTCTTTATTCCCTAGGCCATGAAAGGAGAGAAGGGCATTGGTGGAGCGGTCTCGGCTACAGATGGGCTAAGCGAGGAGCTCACAGAAGAAGCATTCAGTAAGCACTATAAGCTGTGGCTGGAGAGTGGGCTGCTGAGTCTCAGTGCTGAGCCTTTTGTAGGGGACCTGTTCTAAATGACCTTGTGTCACCAAGATCCATGGAGATGTTAACTGGGAAGACACTGCGACCTTTCCATGATAATTACTAATCATTTCCATAGCTTTTCCTTTAGAGTGAAGATTTCTGAGAGGAATATATTGAAAATTGTAATTTATAAAATTTTATGACTTAAATGTTAGCACAAGAAACTTTTCACTTATGAGACACATATTACTCAGTCCTGTGTTGCTCTGGCCACACCCTATGTGAGGAAAGAAAATAGGAAGTTTATGATTTTACATAGGATTATATTGTGCCTATGTGGGAGAACTACAATGGGTCGTTAATGATGTAAATCTAAGGTTAAGGTCAAGAAAGTAAGATTATTTCCTCTTTAATCTTTTCTTCTCCTCTTCCTTTAGCTAACCAGTTACCGGCTGGCTTAATAACTGCAGATGGTCAACAACAAAATGTTATGGTTTACACGACGTCCTATCAACAGGTATCTCTGCATGTCTAACAGCTTCAAAAACAGATTATATTCACTGATTTTTTTTTTAAAAAAAAAAAACACCCACAATTTCAACTTCTTATTAAGGATGTAATAAAATTGTTTTCTCCAAATATGTATTACTAGCAGAACCCCATAACAATGAAAACATTTCACAGGTGCTTGTATCTGCATAGAAGATGCATGGCTCAGAGGAAGGCAGCTGCAAGCTTGGTGCGGAAGCAGCCCCCTCCTGCTGCCTGTTTGGTGTCTGGGATAGACATGTTCCTTTATACTTTTAAAAGGTCTTTATTTACATTTTCCAATCCTAGATTTCTGGTGTCCAGCAAATTCAGTTTTCGTGATCTGAAGAAATGATGGAACCGGGCTCTGGAGAGATTCCAACCAAGTCTGGAACAGGCATTGGGAGGAAGTGAGGGCGAAGACTCCTCTGTGTAAAATAAGTAGCTGTAATGTAGCTTCCTGACGCTTGACTAATTGAGGTGTTAATTCTGACTTGAGAATCTTTTTCATGAATGATTTTAAAGAAAAAATTGGATTTTAAAGGTATTAAAATATTTTTGTTTTGTACGAGAGTTTGTTGCTCTGTATGACGCCTGTATGCATTGTATATTGCAATTTATTACTGTCAGAGATTTGTAGACAGTTTCTTATTTTCATATTGAATCATGTTATTTTGTAATTCAAGTAAGCAGCTGGGTTAATTCATGATGTTTGCCCTTTTAATAAAATGTAAGGGTAGAGTTCATTTTGAATGAGAGTTGCCTTTATTATAAATTTGTCTTGGCTATATTCTATCTTGCATGATAAGCTAGCTAGATTTTTAGCATTTATTCTATTTATTGAAATTAATTTTTTGGTAAAACAGTCATAGCTTAGGCAGTGTCATTTTTTAAAATGTAATTGAATAATTAAGTTGGATGCAGAAGCAAGTATTGTCTGGCCTATAAACTTGGTGCCCGTCACTGTCCGTTCCTGTTCAGGTAGCTTTAGTTACTATTATGTGTGTTAGAATTCATTTCCCCCGGTGTAGTCCTAGCATCCTTGAAGTGGTCCTATTCTTAAAGTACTATAGTATCCTTGTCAAGGAGAGGGATTGTGTAATCCACTGATAATGTCATACTACCTTTTTCACTGAGGGGTCAGATTTTCTGTTAAGCTGTGGGAACTAAAACAGTGGGTGTAATTCTGCAGACGTTTTAAATCAACCAGTGAACAACCAGGGGAGCAGTGAGCGCTGGGATGATGGATGATGGGACACGGGAGCCTTTGGTTTGCTGTCATGCTATCTGCAATAAACTAACAATAGATGTTGTAAAAAAATACAGTATAGTAGTGTGTGTTCGGGTTCCTTTTTTAAACTAAAGATTTCTATTTTTCTCATCTATTCTTTTTGGTAATAATTACTTTGAATTTTTGTGTATGTGGTGGTGGTAGTTTAGCTCTATCCAAAAATGGCTTATTGTACAGTTTGTCCAGAAGGGAATTTGTGGGGCTCCAAGGGACGAAGGGGAGCAGTTTCCTAATTACAAGCTGAATGGTAATGGCCACTCTGCCAGGAGTCTTGGGGTATGTTCTCTGGCTATTCAGAGGTTAAGTAGCTCCCTCCTGTCCTACCCCTTTTCAATAATAATCTTTATGTAGAAAATGCACACAGGAAAGAAAGGGAGAGGATGGTTAAGCAAAATCAACAGCCACCTACTGTGTTGAAATAACCAATGTTAATATTTTGATAAATTCATTTGTCCTTTTACTTTGCTAAATATGTATATTTTTATAAAAATGGGCTCATGTTGTGCACACGGTTTTGTAAGCGGCTTTTTCACTTAACAATATATTGTGAACATCTCCCCGGGTTGTGCATGGTCTTCTGCATCATTCTTACTGGGTTTTTATTCTGTTGTATTACTGAATCAAGAATCTTTATTTAATTGACTATTAGAATTTTTGACTTATTTTCATCCACAAAAGCGGCTGTGCTTATCTTAGAGAGTATATGGTCTTGTGGCTGCAACCACTGAAACAGATGGGGATTTACAGCAGCAGCGGCCAGGGGAAGCCTCTGTGAAAGCCAAGGCCTACCTCGACTCTAGGCAGCTAGAAACTGTCTCCGAGCTGGGTGGACGGTTCTGAGCAGCTCAGCGGCAGCGGTTCGGCTGCTAGCCAGGAGCACCTGTGAAGAGAGGGACCTTTCCCCGCCAAGGCCTCAGGTCCGGTGGGAACCACAGCCTGTCCCAAATGGGTTGTAGGTTTCCAATATCCCACTCCTGACAACCATATATAGAGGGAAATTACCAATACAGAGTCGGGTAGAAATATAAGGGTATTTAATAGGGAAAAGCCTTACTTACAGAGTGACCTAGCCAGCCTTAGTGGCAGTAGTCTGTACGCAATCCCAAAAGAGAAACTGAAATCGAAAACGCAGTCACCCTACGTCCCCTGACCACGCCCTCACAAGCTTTTGAGGGCGTGGTCAGGCACACCTGTAGGTAGCCCCTAAGTAGACGTGGCTACAGCTTCCCCTACAACTTATAATCTGAGCAAGTGCCTTGGCTACACCTCATGTGTCATGAGTCTCAGTTCTCTTCATCTGTAATAACAATGAAATTGCCTCAGGAGAATGATTAAACAGTGGCATTCTCAGAAACCACAAATGATGAGGCTAAGACTGAGTGAAAACTCATTCTGATCTTATAGCCCTCCTCTTTCTTCATCATTCAAAGTTATCATGTAAAAAGACATGAAACTGACATATATCTTCATTAACCTGTCTCATTTACAACATAATTATTTTATTTGTCATGTTTTATGTTTTTGTTTTTAATTCCATTTTATTAATATATACATTGCATATTTTACTCTTCTTTGTTTCCTGTTTGTGTAAAGAATGTTCACTGACTCTCTAAGTTCAGACTCTGTTACTCATGAATTCTTTCACTTCTGTTGAACAAACAGTTCTTTTCATCTCCTTCCAGGTATTTTGTCTCCATATTTTATTTCACACACATGCACAGTTAGTGAAGTTTAAGAAGATATCCATGCTAGTATTTTCTGATTGTTTTTAGTATTTTCCTTCCATTGTTTCAATTTATGTTTTGGTTTGGTGTTTTCATTTATTGATAACATTTTAGGTTTTTTTCTTCTATATTTGTGTATATTTGGTCAATTTAATGTGAACCAATTTCCAGTTTAAATTACCTTTCTTTTGTTTCAAGAGAGTGTTGTGTTTCTTACATTTCTGAAATTTTCTGTATTGGGGTGGGCAGGGAGATTTTAATTATTTTTTTCTTGTTAGAACTTTGGCTCTTGCCTCCAACTTCCATTCTTATTAAGAAATTAGTGTCTGTTTAGTAGGATTCCCTTCAATGTAACTTATCCCTTCCACCCTCTCTCTGTGTGTCTTTTATTTTTTCCCTGTGATTTGATATTTGGGACAGGTGTTTTGCATTAAATTTATTTGAAGTCTTTGAGCTTTCAGAAGTTCAGATAGAACTT